GTAGTTTTTAATTTGTCAATTTTGTGTACACGTGCATTACTGAGCATACACTGTACTCATTAATGATTGGCAGTTTTAACATTGACGATTCCACTTGCAGACTCTCAATTGCCAAAATAAAAAATGCCCATTAAAGTGCTATATGGTATAATGCAATACAAAAAAGTATTCCTCCCCAATAATACAGTATTCAGTGCCCACTACAGCATACTGTACCTGTGAGACAGTGGTTTCCTTCCCCGGTTAGTCGGTGGGTTACACGCTCCTACAAACTGTATCCTCTCTATTGTCACCCACGTGTGATCGGAGATCCTGCAAAATCTGCCGTGCTCGACAATCTGACGTAAGAACAATATTACTCTCTGAGTACCTTTAATTAGAAAAAACAATTTTTTTAAAGAAACATTAAAAAAGAGAATGATATCTCTCTAAAGTGTATTTGGATTGAATGGATTCACATAACCTTGTTATAACTTTATATTCACTAATTTTATTGTAAAATCAATACTCCTTACCATATTTGTCAAGGTCTGGAAGGTTAATCTCATCACAGAAGAGAACCAGCCACTTTCCGAGTTGAGAAGGAGCCATCACAACTCCATTGGGAGTCCTCTTGTACTCACAGTAATGATCAAACCTCTTTAATAATAGCTCAGGGGTAGTGGCTGATGAGACATTAAGACCAACAACCTGGAGAAAAATAGAAAGGGGAAAGAGAGTCAAACAGAAAAAACAAAGAAGATAACAAAGACATTTTCACATAGAAATATGCAAGCATAAAATCTCATTCATACAATGTAGTACATGCACTGTAATTCATAAATACATGTATGTGTGTACATCTACATACATATACATATAAAATCTCAACACAAGTAAAAATATAACACCATATAGATGTACATGTACATGTATGTGTGTCTGAGCTGAGTTAAATATTGACAAGTAATAAATATTGTATATTATACACTGTATATGTAGAATACATGTACATGTAAAAGTGCACGTATACAGCATTTAGTTTAAAAACTGTGTATTTTGAAGCTTTTCTCTCTCTTCCTCCGTTTCTTATGCTGCGTTTACACAACAGAAGTGGGCCAAAGTATGCTGAACCAGGCTGAGCTGGCCCTGCTGTACTAACCATGCTGGCCTGGTTTGGCCCAGCTCACTTCAACTCAGTTTGGTTACTGTTTACACTATCAAATGAAACTGTGCTGGCCCACTTTAAACAGTGTTGGCTCAGTTAAAAAAGCTAGTGTAAACACAGTACCATATAGCTTGACATTTTCGTGGGTCGATATTTTCGTGGTTTGCTCCTAGTGGGGCAATTCGTGGTTTAATTTTCGTGGTTGACAGTTTACATACCATATTTCCTCGAGTAAAAGCCGCGGCGTCTATTTCATTTTTCCATCTGTAGGAGGGAGGCCACTATACGAGGGCGGCCATTGTTCGAGGGCGGCGATTATTATTAATTGTGACCATAATTGACAAAAGGTACCTTATGGCTGGTAGTGAAATTTGTCTTTCTAGCCTAAGAAATCCAACTTCCTGAGCCCCATTCATCATAAAATTACTCCACAGGATGCAAAAAGTTACCATGAAACTTTTAGAAACAATGATTGTCTAACAAAGCACTCACAGGTTGATATTTTCCATTATAACAATCATTTTTAAAATCCGCCATAAGGGCCCTTTTGTCAATTATGGTCACAATTGTCATTAATTTTAAATTAATTATTAATTTTTACGATTAATACTCTTTTTAAACAAAATAATTCAATCTTCATCATGTCAATTACTACTCTACTACTTCCAGTTCCAGGTCTGAAGAAAGATCACTCTCATGTTCTACCTCAGGCTGTAGGAGTTTAGATGTTCCCCAGTGTCTTTGCATTATGAGCTACATGTACTTCTCCTTCCTAGGGAGTTTTCACGAGTTGTGTTGGCACTTGTATGATTTCAATTTAATTTCAATTTTTCTGTACTTATAATAAGAGAGTTTTTTGGTATGATAACTTGAGCTACCAACTTCACGTGGCTGGATAGAAAGCTGCATTTCTTGTACATAGCTGCCCTAACTCACATCATTTTTGGTCCACTCAGCCGGATAACTCACTAGTATCCGGCATAAAACCAGGTTAGTCGGCAGGTCAAGAGTGCACAGTTCTTGTCCCTCTTCTTATTTACAGTCCTCTCTAATTAATGCCCGTCACAGCCACTACTTCTAACTATGGCTCTATCCAGTCTACATAAGAAGCGAGGAGCTGCTAGAAGTTCTATTACTCGACTAAACAATCGACTCAAAGATCTTGAAGCGGATCCTGAAGTACCCGGTGCATCAGACCGTGCCAAGCATTTACTCTCGAAGCT